AACTATTAATTGTCAGTTAATGTAAAAAAAAAAAAATCAACTGATTCTTAAATTGTTTTATGAATTTCCGAATTTTTTGAATTTTATTCGTCAACTATATAATAATGGGAAAAATTTTAAATTACATTTTTCATTTAAATAATATAAATAAATAATTTTACATTTACATTTCTTACCTTCATTGTTACATTGAATAATTAAATGTTTCCGCAAGTTTTCAAATGTAAATTTTCTTCGATTGCCAGATAACAGAGTTTTGTACGATGAAAATGACCTCTAACCACTGCAGTGGTCGGTGTATATTTGAAGTACACAAAGTCGTTGCATGAATAATCTTCAGGAAATTGACTCATATCCGAAATTTTATCTTCTCCTTTTAAAATGTTTGATATTTTTTCCAGAATTTTAAGGCCTTCATTCTTTTCTAAAACTTTTTATAGTTTTAAAAGTACTTAAAGTACTACTTTTCCTTGAGTTCCTTTTAATGATTGAAATTTCGACTTTATTTCTTGAATTATAATAATTCAATTAGCCAATGAAAGGTTTTGCATTTGCAATTTTACAATGGCCTTTGGAAGAACTTAACAATTTTTTTACATAAAAGCCAAGTTGTTTTCTAATCCTGATTTCAGTAAGCATAATTTGATTTTTTTAATACTATGTACATCATTTCCGTTTTAGGTATTTATTACGCTACATATTATTTGGAAACGTACACAATAATAAAATGCAACTTCAAGACATGTCCCCCAATACGTTAAGATAGGTTCTGGTGGTAATCTAATTGCTGGAGACATGGTATGGGGCTTCGCGAACATTTTTTTCATGTTTGATATCAACTCGTTAATAGTATTGAACTGTTCACGAATTTCTTCAGCTATCGACGAAGTTCGTGTATACTGCGTATACTGCAAGTGGTGTATATCATTTTGGTATATATTTTTGAGAACTGAATCGGCTTTAACCGTGTAAGAAGCTGCGTCGGAAAAGAATAGTAAGACGTTGTTGTACATAATATCTCCGGGCCATAAAATGGTCATGGTTTTATTAAAGATTTTACAAATAGTATTATGATTTATTTTTTCTAATTCTTCTGAGTGCAGTAAAAATGAATGACCAACACAATCTGACTTAAGAATGCCAACAATAACATTTACCACACATCGTACTTGTACATCCTATGTTTCATCAACTGACACCCAAATTAGAGTGATTTCAATTTCAATTCTCATTTTATCCATTACTTGGTTGTAAATGTCGTCAATATATCCTTAGATTCGAATCACCAGCACGGCTACTTTTGAATAATAGTACCAAACCTTGACAGTATTTTATACTTTTTTTTGTTCAATTTTTTACAACCAAAATAAAATTTTGTACACTCAACCAAACCCGAGAAAACCCGATTTTTATATGGCCGTGCTGGAGATGTGTATTCCTAGCACGGCCATTAACCAATTATTATAAAAATGAAATTAAACTTATACAGTATTATTACTTTTTTTTGTACAACTTTGTACAACAAAAACAAAATTGTGTATATCCCTCCAAATCCGAGAAAAATCGATTTTTCTATGGTCATCACATTTTATACTATGTCTATTACCTATAATAGCCACATGCTGTACAGTTATACCGTATTACTAAAATAATGTGACAAGTCAATAATAAATTAACAGGTTTACCGCCATGAGACTCTTTTTGGGTGCTCACTAGCTTACTCCCTGACGCCATGGTATTTTTAATGTGATTACTCAAATTTGATTTGAAAAAAAAAATGATTGGATTTTGCTGGAAATTTAAATATAGGTTCAATATAAATTATATGACTGATATACAGTTATTTTGGACAAATTCTAGCTGAGACCCTTAATAGATTCTCATGGCAGTGGTGAGTAACATGTAAAAAATTGTTGATTGTTCCTAACAAACTGAGATACCAAATAGGTTCTCAAAATAGTAATATTGTAATAATATTTTCATTCCATTAAATTTAGGATATTCGATTGTATAATATAATTGTTTAGGAACTTGAGGTTAGAGGTTTACATGAAAAATAATAAAAATTTAAAAAGAAACATTTTCCTTAGGTGCACTACCTTTTAATAATAATAAGTAATATTATAACAATAAGATAAAACAAATTTAAGTACTTTAGTACCCAATAGTTTAACAGTCAAACAAACCAATACAATTTTTTTAAAAAAAAAACGTTATCGATTCATTTTTTTATCAAGATGAATATTATCAGTAGTTATAATATACAAATTGGAATAGTAAGATAATATCACAACCTAAAACTGAAACCACAAACATGACCAGATGACTTCATTGGTATCATCATTCATATTGTTATCGATAAATTTAATTTAAAAATTAACAAATAAAGATAAACGTTCGCTAAAAACATCAAATTATAGTGGTCAACTGTAGAATCCGTTTCTGCAATAAAAACTACGACAACTGAGACTCTATTCGGAATATCGGCGTATAAACCTATGTAGTCATTGAGATTACAAAAAGAGTCTCAATAACGGTTTTGAGTAACTTAGCTGAGACCCCAAATAGAGTCTCATGGCGGCTATGAGTAACCCGAAAGAAAACACATGGCGGTCAACCTGTTAATAATAGGTATCAATAAACCGAATTTTACTTTTCCTCCACACTATACCTGTCTATAGTATATGGTGGACTAAATGTAAATGAATAAAAATATTTAAAAATAGAAAAACCCCAATTTCTGATTTGTGCATGTAGCTTGTATTATTTGACTAGATGTTTATTTTATACATGGTCATTTCTAAAAATGTAAAGTAGTCAAACGGAGCCAGTATCAATAAAGTCAGGTTTGAGACAGAGCGACTCCATGTCACCCGTGTTATTTAATGTAGTACTAGAGAAAGTTATTAGAGCAATAAACATTGGACCCAGCGAAGGAGTGAAACTGCAGGACTCTTCATTAGGCTTATTGGTGTATGCAAATGATTTAGTACTTATGGAAGAATCACCGAATACATTGAAATTACTGTTCAACCGTCTACAAAGTATGGTGTCAAAAGTGGGACTACAGATAAACGAATCTAAAACAGAGTACTTGGTTGTTAGTAGATGAGAAACTGCGGGTATGTATTTATCCTTTAATGTAGGAAACTATGTTTTCAACAGAGTCAAGCAGTTTAAATACTTAGGGTCTGTTATATCTGAAAAGAATGAAATAGCCAAGGAAATTTCAGCAAGGATATTTTTAGGTAATAGGGCTTTCTATGGACTGGTAAAACTACTACGATCTAGAGCTTTATCAAGAGAGCTTAAGATACAGCTATATAGTACATTACTGCGTCCAGTTGCTATTTATGGAGCGGAAACGTGGCCACTACGAAAATAAGATGAAAGAAAGCTGGCAGTATGGGAGAAAAAAATTCTAAGGAAGATCTATGGACCGGTGATAGATTGAAATAGCAATGAGTGAAGAGTAAGAACAAATAATGAGCTAGAATTATTCTTCCAGAAGCCGAATATATTGGAGATAATAAGGAGTAAAAGATTAAAGTGGGCCGGACATGCTTGGCGAAGCCAGAATCCCTTACTACGTATAATATTAGAAAAAGATCCTATAGGGAAGAAGCCGCTGGGAAGACCTCGCATGAGATGGGAAGATCTGGTTAAAAAAGATGTAATCGCCTTAGGTGGAAGGTCAGATTGGAAGGAACGAGCATCCGACAGAGATGGTTGAAGAAAAGGGTGTTTGACGGGATGGTCCTAGTGGCCGGCTACCCGAAGAAGAAGAAGAAGAATTACGAAATATCATTTATTTTTTACCAAATATTTTGGAATAAATTACATTTAATTTGAGAAATCTCAGTTGGACTGCTTACTCTATTCCTTAAATTGTAGGGCCTCATTTACAAAATTCTGGATGTGCACGAACAACCCCCGCAAGCACATCTATGTCATACACTGCTATACTGTTTACCCATACGTGTTTGCGTATACGTATACGAGTACACGTACAATCTTGTTATTAGTTCGGGTATAACTGACAACACGACCCGGACAAAAATCAAAAAAAATTGATTTTGTTCATTCAAATTTTATTTTATCGGTTTCAACTATACATGATCCGTTTTACTCAAACGGGTAAACACATATGGTTAAAATTGTCATTCAAACCGGTAGTATATGGCCCGCAACACGGTCACGCAGGTTACATAATAAATATTTATAAACATTTTCTATCGAATACTATGTATATCTTTGTATAGGTTCAGTCAGCATGTTTCACGATGATACACCAATGGTGTTATGTATAATAAAATAAAATAAAAGTGATAATATAATTTTCGTCCCTCGCCCTCCCTATAAAAACAAGCTTCAGATCCGCCCTCGCTCGTGCGGCAAACACGTCGACGGTCGCGCTGCAGCCGAGCAGACTTGTGTACCGAACATGCGGCGGCAGTGCTGTCCCGATGGATATTAGGGCCCGGTGCAGAATTCTACGGGGCCCCATATATATTTATTTCAATTATTTTTATTCTCATACAGTTCTATAAACTTTAAGGTCTAGGATATAATTTTGATTTTCTTCGATAATAATAATAAACGATTCCGGCGACAATTATGAGATTATTTATAGAAGAAGCGATGATCGTGATTTATAGCAAGCGAGGCTCGGTGCTGCCGCACGGATCGATCCCCTAATCCTCCTCCTCCGATAGGGCCGGCACTGTATACCGGGGCCCCTGCATACGACGGCCGGGCTCCGCCGGAAAACGCTCGTTGCACACGGCGTTCGTCACGGACATTGTACGGTGTTGATGAACGATATCAAAATATTATTGTGTACACACATGTTTTCGTGCAACGTACGGGTTAATGTGTGTGTGTGAGCGCCATGCGCGCGTGTGCGTGTGTGTTTGAACGAGCGCGGGATGGGATGGGACGGGACCACATGTTCAAACCGAACAATGCGGCGGAGACCTGAAGACTACCGCGCGCTGCTGACCAGTCACCAGTAGTGGTCTAGAAGTCGACGCGAACGCTCGTGGTCCGCCCAGATTTTCAGTTCAATACGTATTTTTATTTTTTTGTTTTTCTTTCCTTAACAACATTAACGATTGATTTTCACTTCGAGTGCGAACGTGCGCAAATATTACGAGATCGATATTCGGTCGTGTTTCGTTGATGTTATCTCCCACCGTCTCCTCCCGTATAATGGTGACTTCTCGCATCGCTTTAGATGGGCTTTTGCAAAACAGACTGACCCCGAACATCTGCAAGGATACGCTGCACAGGATACACGGAGGCGAGACGGACTTGTTTCATTTATGTAAGTTTTGTACGATTAATATTGTATACGAAGCGTACTGTGCACACCACATATGTTAATGATTTTATAAAGATGTTTTTATTTGTATTCTGTTTCCTTTGATCAATTCAGTTCTCAGTCATTTTTCAATAATTGTTTCCTAAAGCGTTTTATTGTCATTCAATAATAGATTTGACGTTATAATTTCTTACATTTTACCTTTTCGAAATTATTATTTTATTGCGCTTAAATAGCCAAGTGCTGTGAAGTTTAATCGAAATATAATTCTAAACACGTCAAATATTATCGTAAACGATTTTAAATTTTTACTTCCATGGCATTGTTAGATCGTCTATTTCGATTTTAAATCATAATTTTGGTATTTTTTCTGAATGATGGTTTTGCACCGATAGTAAACTTTTGAAACATTTTCGAATTTAATTAGTTGTTATCAATAGTATTGTTACGATACGGCATATAATATAGCTACGTCATTAAATAATTTTAAAATTACTTATCCTTTAAACATTTGTTCTTACAAGATATTTGATTTCGATCACACCTAGCTTTAGAAAAATTCTTATTGCCCACGCAGGGATTTATAGCCCTATATAATATAACGCCTACAATACAATCCTTATGAATGAATCTTGATTCAAAATACTAAAAATTCTATTGTTATAAAAAAAAAAATAGACCAGTAATACCGACATTGTTAGACAGTAGTATTTAAAGAAATATCAATTTGCATAGTTCTTAGAATACGGGGTGACAAAATGCGTAGGTTTAATCTAAGATACAATAAGTCTAAATGATGACAAGCATTAGTTGTGTAGAATAATATAATTTTATATTTTGGTAACATGCACAGAACGTAATCCAATAATTAATTAGGCGTAGATAGATATAATACAGTCAATACTTAAATAAAATATAATAAATAGTGAAACAAAATATTTAATACACAAGCTACCTTATGAAATTTTCTCATTTAAACATATTGTTAATATTAATATTCAAATTAATTTATAAGATAATATAAAATAGCCTTTATTTTCTAATATTATACAATATTATATTATTACAACTACTTGTTTGTTCATAATATTAAAATCATTTTTATACTGTATTAATTTATAATTAAAGACCTACTCCGTGAAATAGTTTAAAAAATGGAAAACGATCCACGGAATTGTTTTAAAATTATTAAGATTAATATGAAAAAAAAATGTAAATTCTATCTTATTAAACCTGAAAATCTCTATTTTTATTGTAAATTGTATGTGTTTGAAGTGAAAATGTATAAATACAATGTTAATAAATACGTTTAGCATTTCAATCCCAACATAATATTCAACACTATCCGGACTCTTTCATATTGAAAATTTTTACTTATTTTGATTGACGGTACGAATTAAAGTTCTCATTTCTCTTAGAGAATTCTAAGTCTTAACTAAACAATAGTAATTGAACACCATGTTTAAGTTTACGTATGTATTCAGTTCAGGGAAATATAACATAAGTACTCGTTATCACTCAAAAAATGTATATATTTATCATAAAATAGTTGTTTCGACGTGTATAACAATGACATAAAAAAAAAAAATTGTATGGAAATTGTGTGTTGAAAAGCTCATAATGTCGCGATATTGAGCGGAACGCGTTGAAGGATTAAAACAAAAAAAAAAAAATTGAAACTCGGGCGTGCATGCGTCCATATTATGCTTTACGTAGGTATACAATATTTCAATAATAATCGCAATGACATGCAGAAAATCACAATGCAAAAAAAAAAAAATAAACACGTCCGAAATTTAAGTTGCGATCGACTACTAGATTCATTAACCTAATCCGGAAATGGAAATTAAATTCTACTCAGTCATACGTAAGATCAATATGGTCGAAAATCTATCAAGTATAAATTTGGTACTAACTGAAAATCGAAAAACGACTGTTTCATACTAATATGTTTAAAAAAAATTAGGGTCGAATAACCTAGTGGCTATTACACAAATCTGTTTATATTTAGGTAATAACACGCAAAAGATTCCAAACGCTTTTTGATCGAATCAATTGAATAAGAATCTAATTGTTGAAAAATCCGTATTACAATGGACGATTACCAGAAATTAAGCGTAAACTCAGTTCAATTGCTAATAAAATTAAATACGATAATCATGGTGATCAAATTTTGATAATTGAATGTTTTTTTTTTTTTATTCGTTTTTTGTGATTTCCGAATAGAAATACGTTTTTACGGAACACTACGCGAAGTATCGATCGGTAATATTAGTCGTGGACCGGTGGATTTTTTAAACTTTCAAACGTTTGAGCGTATTTTTTTAAATCTGAATGCTTGGGACGAGTTCGTGCGGTACTGGCAATAACGACGAACAGTTGATAGATACGTCCTTGTAACGCACTGTAATGTAAGAACGCGTCGTATTTCGTGCACGACTCATCAACCACTTGTTTCCGTTAAAACGATATCCCCTCCCCCATTTCCCCTCACCGAGACGTTTAAATATGTTTGCGTTAGCACGGCAATATTTGAACGGCACGCGACTTGGAACACTGTGCTTAATAACGTGTGCTTTTCGAACGTTTTGCAGACGCTGGAAAACATAACACGGACGACACGTCTTCGTCGTCGTGCGGCGCGGACACGATGACCGCAGCCGCGATCAAACGGGAAACGCACACGCCGACCACGGATCAGAGCGAGGATTCGGGCGTGGACGTTTCGGTGGCCGGCGGCGGTGGCGGTGGTGGCAACAACGGCGAACACCACGGGAGGCCGTACAAGCGGAGACGGTCGGGCGACGAATCGGACGACGGGGATGACGGGTGTCCGGCCAAGTCGAGCAGGACCAAAGCGGCGGTCGCGGCCACCACCACCACGGCCACCGAGACCGTGCTGTCGGTGAACATGGCCGCTTGTCCGCCGTTCAGGCCATGGAGCAGTGACGAGTCGTCGTCGGACGTGGGCCTGCGGCTGTTCCAAGACATACGAAACGTGGACAGGATATTGACGCTGACGCAGCGGCGCAGAGAACCACCGGCCGAACCACAACCGCTGGACCTGACCAAGGGGCGAGCGAACGTGGCGCTGCCTGTCCGGCCGGTGGACCTGGCGACCACAGCCGAGCGACAACCCGTCGAGCTGCGTGGCCGCACGGCCATTGCGAACGAGTGTTGCAGCGCAACGGGCACCACCGGTACCACCGCAATCGGCACCACCGCCGGGAATGACGCCTGCACCGCGACGACCACGGCGACCACCAGGTACAGCAAGAACATGTCCCGGGCCCGGAGGATCGAGGCCAACGCCCGCGAGCGGTCCCGGGTGCACACGATCAGCGCGGCTTTCGACACGCTCCGCGCCACCATCCCTTCATACTCCAGGAATCAGAAGTTGTCGAAACTGTCGACGATACGCATAGCGAGCGCGTACATACTCACGCTGTCCCGGTTGCTGGACATGGACTACAGCGCGGAGCAGGACCGGCCGTCCGTGGCCGAGTGCGTGGACAACGTCACCGGGATCATACACATGGAGGGCAAGGCGAGGAAGAGGAAGGACGAGCAGCAGTGAACGGGGATGGGCGAAAGACACCGGAAACGTTCACATCCGGTAGTGTAAGACCGAAGTTACGAGATTCCAATTCGCGAAATCGTGAATCGGCGAACCGACGGGAGGTTTCGAGTGTCGCAAATTGATCGCTGTCCGCCTTAAACGCCGAGTACGCTTGGAACGCGTCGTCACGCTGTGGAGTCCGATCAGCATTGAACATTCAAAAACCCCGAACGGGGATGCCCGTGGGATACGCGTTTCGACCGACCGCAATATTCAGGACGAAATCCGGGAACAGGCAGCAGCAACAGCAGTAAACGCTATCGCTGTCGGTCCCCGACACTGCAGTCGGAGCATCGAGTCACCCGTTGTTCGTACGCACCTTTTTTTTACCCCCGAGGATCACACGCAAGACTCTCGAGCTCCCGCACATGTTAAAACACATGGCCAGCACTTGTCGCTCGTCGTAAGGTCGTGTGTATGTGTGTGTGTGTGTGTGTGTGTGTGTATACGTGTGTTGACCTATAAAAATAACTATGTATACACACATAAACGCACACCTAAACATATGTAACCGTTGAGCTTGTGCGCCTGCAGTATAGGGTTAACTGCAGTTACGATAGCGACAATATTTTATACGTAGCATACATTCCAAAAATATTTTGTTAATATACGCCATAATTATTGTTATAAAATTATCGTCATACCACAGTTCGTATAATACATATGTTTTCGTTACTCTATTTTTTGTAAATTCCACGTGCGCGTAATTTATCGTCACTGTTGATACTGCCCTCCCCGTCTCTCATTACTTATCCTATTATTATTTTTATTTTTAAATTTTTTTTTCGTTCTGTTATTTACATTTAAATACGTATACTAGTCAATTATTATTTATATGTAAATTGTATACAAACGTATACGCAATTACAATATATATATTTATATATAACATATCTTATTAAGCCCATATATATCGGCTATATTTATGTATTTTTTTTTCCTTTGACGTGTTGTATCAAATAATAAAATTTTATTTAAATGACTACCTACCATCTGAGCAGAGTCTAAATATGTACAAACTTGATTTGACCTTTGCACCAATCACTGGATTTCACATCTATTGTTACGCGCGTACAGTTGTGGTTAGGACCGTAAATTACGTTACAATCGAATGGCGAATCATCGACCATAATTCATGACTATTGTTGTGATTGTGAGGAGCGGTGCTGAAGATGATAGACCGAAATTAATACCAACACACCGCTCGACGGATCATAACAACGTCGGTTCCCACAAGCTATGATATCGTATACCTTTAACACATCGCGTGGTATAAAAACCGTTTTACGTTCTTGTTAATAAAATTGACGATTTTTTTACAAATATTACTTATACCACATAAGCTATGAAACGAACCGTTCAATGTTTTGAACAGCATTAAAGTCCGATCCGATTTGATCACGAAATTATTTAATGAACACTCGTTGGGTATACAATGTACGTATATAAAGTTTTCGTCCAGAACTGAATTTATGAAAGGCCTTACCTAATCTTCGGACTAACCACTGTAGGGAATGAAGTCGAGATACTGATACTGCTCTTCAATGTCCACGAAAATTATGGGCAGAGTTTAGTGCAGTACTGTTGCAGTAGGTATTGCAGTTAACAATCGTACGTCGAAAAGTTTGACACGACCCATTCGTCATGAGAGTTGAGTGCCAAGCTGACAGGTAACTTCAATCGAAAATAATTTTTTGCGCTGAGTGCGAGTTAATATGTGGCGCACATGGTACACCACTATAGTATACTGCAATAGTAAATTATTGTATTAGTATTTATTGTATATATTATTATATTATTTATTATATTATTATAATAATATATATTATAGTATATATTATTTATTGTATATTTATTATATATACCAACATTAACCGTCAATCACGGGCAGCAGTGATTAAAGGTGCGGGAAATATTGTGCAAAACCAAAAAAGTAAATCCAACTGGTTTGACTGGGATTCACTGATCGAAACAACGTCGTGTCTTACGACCATCGGTCATAGTTCTCGTTTATGCTTTTAATAGTACACTTTAGAATTATGATTTCTTACACTGTAGCTAAATTTCTTATAATTAAAAAAAAAATTACTCGAAGGTTTTAAGGTTTTAAAATCGAATAGCTCATTCTTTCGAACCTTATGTTAACCGCAGATATTGTAAGAGGGTTGATCATAATTTGTATTCACCGAGAGAAATTAATAAGTTGTCATTGTTTTGGGAGAAACGCCGTACAGTTGTTAAATATTGAATGACAATAAAAATAGCATAACAATAGGTTTATATTTTCACTGTCTTACGATTAGATATATAAATGCCAACATTTCAATCAAATTACGTTATACCTATGCTATATAAATAGAGGACATAATACAATAACTTTAAAATTAGATTTTTTAAAAAGGTGTGCAATAAAATATAAAAATCATTCTCATTAAAGCAATTTTTTAACACATAATTGTATTCATCTGATTTTCCTCGATTATGCATTAACGTGGAATACGTTGATTACTGAATAACACAATTTATGGATCATCTTTCAATTTTATTGATCAACGATCAGTTTGAGGAAGTGGCAATCGCCAAAACATGTCCGTCTTTTTAAAATCTACATTCACCGCTATAGTATTTAAGTACAATTTGATCTTTTTAAAGTTAAGCTTTTAACCCAGGAATATATCTAGTTTTACATATGCTGGCTGTTGGTATTTACTGAATTAATAAACATATAATAATAACTAAAATTTAAAACATTTAAAATTATTTAAAATAAAAGGTTAAACATTTTAAGGTTCTTACGGTCATTTGGATGTACAACCGTTGCACAATGATCAATGTACATTATTGGTAATATTATGTAAATGAGGATTAATTGGATTTGAGCGTATATAAACACGCAAACGCACGAGTGACCAAATTACATGTAAAATAAATATTAACTCGTAATTTTACGTACCAATTTAAGTTAATTATGCGATTATAGTTTTTATACTTTTTATAATAAATATATTTAAAATTATCATGATTGTTTTATTTGAAATCATTTTTTCTCTCAATTTTTTCAGTTTTGTTTCCTTGACTACAAACGTATACAGTGTAACTAAAAATGCCAGTATTAAAAACAATGTAAGAAGCCTATGAGTCCGATTTACCATAAGAGGTCGTTTGATTTAGCCACGCTTTTTAAAAACTGTTATCTGGTATATGTGTTATTTAATATTATCACATTGCAACGCATATTTACTATTTTTTTTTTATAAAGTGTGAATATAAATAATCTTTAAAAGGGTTTTTACTTTTTGTAGGTAGCTTTTTAAGTAAAATATTATAAGTCGAAAAGTTTCTTAAAATGTTTAAATTAGTAGAATTTGATAATTAATTTCGTTCTAATATGATTTCACACACCAGCTTGTATTAATATTTTACTATGAACACTAATCCAGTTACAAATATCTTGTTCGGAAAACATATTAGAACGAAATGAATTATTATCAAATTCCATTAATTTAAACATTTTAAGATACTTTTTGATTTATAATATTTTATTTGAAAAACTAACAACTAAAAGTCAAAAGTCAGAAATCAAATTAGAAGATTATTATAATATTATATTATATTATATTCAACAAAAAGTCAAAAAATCATTTTAAGATACTTTTTGACTTAAAAAATTTTACTTAAAAAGCTACCTACAAAAAGTAAAAACCCTTTTAAAGATTGTTTATATTCATACTTTATAATAGTATCATAAATAATAAATAGGCTTTGCAATTCGATAATATTAAATAACACATAATACTAGATAACAAGGTTATAGGTAACAGTTTTTAAAAAGCGCGGCAAAACCAAACGACCAATCAGAAAGCTAAAATGATAACCGGTGCCGAGACCGACCCCAGAATGCTAATATGCTACCGGGATATTACCAATCGCCGGTGATGCATCACAGCAACGCGGCCGCGATCATCCCGTACCTGATCGACACCAACACGTTGCTCAAAAGAGGCAGGATGGCGTTCAGTACGCGGTGGAGCACGTGGTAGACGGGTGCGTATACCACGAACACCACGAGCGTGTTGATAATCAGCACGACGGCCGCGTGGACGGCGAACTCTAGCCACGCGTAGCGGACGACGGACAGATGGCCGCGACTGGGGTCGTAGGACGGATGGCAGCGCAGGGCCGCGTGCACACGTCGCACGTCGCCCAGCCGGTGCACCAGGAATGCGGTGGACCGGACGGGTATGACCAGCGCGCCGATCACGAACGCGGCCATCAGCGCAACGTGCACCAGCACCAGCCGGGCGCGTTGGGCCACGTACACTAGGACGTCCGCGAAACTGCCGCTCCGGCCGACAGACTCCTGTTCCTGTTCCTGTTCCGTGGCAGAAAATAACTCGGCCAGCAACCCGTCCGTTGGGACGTCGTACGGTGTCCACGCGCGCACCGCACTGCGGTCGCTCCAGCTGCGCACCTCGCGGCACGCGTCCCTGACCCGGCACAGAAGCGACGCGTTTTCATTTTCCTGTGGCTCGCACTCGTAGGCTTCATGGTTGCACTGGTCCATGTTCGGGTTTTCGCACAGACGTAGATGTGGTGAACACATGAATGTCGCGCAGACAAGGACTGTCGAACTACTGAATTTGTCACGTTTCGATTGCCCTTACGTTAATTTCAACTTCCCTGTGAATGTTTAACATAGCCAATTCTGCAAATATGCAAGAATTTTTGTTAATTTTTTATTTTTTGGAGAGTTTCTGGGGGGGCCCAGTACCCCTGGACCCCCCGTAAATACACCACTGCTAAAACGAATGGCTGACACACCGCGGCCGTAATCTTACATGGTCCGGTCGGCAATAATCACGTACCGCGTGCGACCGTGTTTATGAAATTAAACGCGTCGTACACGTGGTAACTGTAACGTAAACTCATTTTGGTGCACACGCGTGGGTGCCAGATGGTGGTGCTTAACGCCCTCGAACCAAAAATTAGCGCCGCCCCTAAATCGTTTTGAGCGAAAAATGATAGGTATATTTATTTGACAATATTTGCGTTCGTGGAAATGATTTGGTCCCAGATTGTATTAATAATACAACGTAATACATTCATAACTACTACCTGTGTATGTCAAAATGATACACAGGCAGTGACGTTTCCAAGGGGGGGGGAAGTTAACAGGTTATAACACCCCTCCGGCCCCGAAATATCTCTCTTATTTTGAAAAATTTACAACCAAAACCATTGGTACCATGTTATGTCATCATCATAAATAGTAACATATTTCACATTTTAACTTGTGTTCAATCAACTTATTAAAATTGAAAATTTGGTAATTATGTACGAAAAAATTTAAAACTGCCCCAAAATATTTTTCTGACCACCGTACACAGGCATGAGATAAATTTGCTAAACGATTTCAACGAAGATAGCGACCGGTTGGTTTCACACCTTCAACACTGAGTATACATATCCCTGTATTAGGTTTGTCACCTTTATGCAACACAATATCGATTTTCTTCGATATTGTCATTTATAAGTTTATTCTACAATTGAATAATTATTTTGAAGTTTTTCTTTTTTGTCGTCCAGTAATGTGTGAAGTTCGCCACGGTTGAAACCTAGACGAATCATTTTGGCACTCGAAAGTTTTGAACTGAACATGTTCAATTGCATGCATGCACGCATGCATGCGCCGGAGCGTATACTAGATATTATGCTGCAAGGTAAACGGAAAACAATGGGTGCCTCGATAGAGGTGCAAAGGGGTGCACTTTCACCCCCCAAGATTTAAAAAAATTATAATAGTATTTAAAAACATAGGATAG